ATCGAACATGCTAAGAGAGTCGTCAATTCGTCATGTGACCGGCTGCGTGCTGATTGGCTCAGGGTGTGTAGAGCTTCATGATCCTGAGTATACGCAAGTTTAAATAATTATATATAATACATGTAAATACTTATCAAACGAAAAAATATACAATTCAGCTTTAAAATCCTTACCTATTTAATCTTTACGTCTTTCCTGTCACTGTCACTTTAACCTTTCTCTCAGAATCATGGAGCTGCACGCGCCCTGAGCCAATCAGCCGGTGACGAGTCACGTGACGAGTTGACGACTCTCTGATTATAGGCTCTCTAGGTTCCACCCGCCCATCTCTAAGGCTGCGTTTGGAAACGTCACTCGAGTACTCTCCCTCTCTTTTTATCTCACTCTTGTATTTCGCTCACTCCAACGGCTATATCGTCTATAGTGTGCACACAGTGTGTTTCAGAACGCAGCATAGGGATAATGTTGGTAGCGTGCTCCCCGAACGCTTTCTCCCGTAGAGAAAATTTTCCAAACTGACAGCACTGCACGGAATCCTTTGTGCGCATGTGTCGAAACTTTTGATTGGCTGAGATGTCAGTTATACTTGTGCACAAGCTCCCGCTTAAGAAGAAAACCGACAAAAGTGTATCACTGCTTGCAGACTGTTAGGACGTTACAATATGAACTCGACACGGAACGATCGACGAAAGACACAAACGTTAAAACCGAAGAGAGTGTCGACTGGCGAAACTTCTCACATTCCCAGGCTTCGTGTCCGGAGCTCTTCGAGCGATCGAGCGAGCGGCAGGATATCATATTTAAAAGTTCCAGGTAAAGACATATATATGCCTCAGATTAGTACATAGAATTTAGTAATTGATACATACATACATATGCACATACATACATAAACAGGTTGAGAATAAAATTTAAATAAATATTCAGAAAAGGTTACACTTCTCACTGCATTTTTTCAATTTGAGATATAGAGATGGTTGGGAGAGATTTCCAGAAAGAAACAAGTGGGGTATGACATTAGCTGTCTAGATACAAAATGAAATTTAAAATTTTTATTATCTTTCTTTGAGACATTATAAGTTGTTGGATCTGTTTTCTATTGCTAAACTGGCTGCACTAGTTCCCTCTCATCTTCCACCAAGTTTTATCTGTATATCTATCTCTTTCTAAGTTCCAAAAGTGTACACTAGTTCAACAATAAGAAACAGACCCATTATGGTAAACAGTATGTTTATATGAACTATTTTCATTATGAGACAAGTAACTGAAAGTGAAGAAAAAAGAAGCTGTCTTTAACATATATTAAATTAGGAAATTTTGAAAAAATTAATAAAGACTCTCATACAGTATTTTGCCAAATATTTTGATCTCTTTTGTTTTATTAAATTTAATAATATTATAGATTAAAATAAGTAAGTAAATAAATAAATAAATAAAACATAAAAAGATTAACAAAGGCCTCTACAAGATTTGAGTTCAGACATGTAGCAAGATTTATAAAGAAATGTCTTAATAAGTCACTCACAAACTTTGTGCATATAGAGACCTTGGTTCTTTCAGGATCTGTTATCAGTATGATAGACTCATCAATCTAGGCATCTATGAAGCAACACATTTTACTGACAAAATATTTTAGATATACACATATATACAGTAAAATAATTTGCATGGCCACATGTTGAAAACAGTTTAAGTATTGTTAGAATTAAGTGAAAACATTTACTGACAGTATAATAGTCATTTTCTAAAAGAAATATGTACAAAGAACTTCATTTTGAACTCTCTTTTGTCGATAAAATTGCTTCTAAATCTGACTTATGAGCTTTTCAATTTGTTTATAAGTATGTTTAGAAACATTTTTACTGATAAAAGTGTTCAGAATCTAAACCTTTTTCTAGTTAGTAGATGAACAATAGATGATTAATACAACATACATTAACTTTATATTATTTGCAATATAAAAATCACTTTTAATTATTTTTTCTGCCATATATATTAATATTAAAAGCATTGTTGAAATGTGACTTGAATATTAAAATTAATTCTTTAATTAATATATATATGAATTCTTTAATATGTATGAAAATATATATCTAGATAGGATATATTTATATATGTATACATATATATACGTATATAGGATATATATTTATATATGTATGAAAATATATATTTAGGTAAAACTCCGCTGCATCAACCAACAACTCCAGTTGCACTTCTTGCGACTCCTGTGAGAGTTTCTATCAAGTCTAATGTGCCCAATACAGTAGCCTCATGTTCAGGCAGAGTTCGTGGATTATCGACTGGTCGATCGCCATCCGGCGAGCGTGCTAATAATGTGGGTCCCAAGGACACAAGACCCTTGGCAGACAAGTCCTATCAAGCAATGTTGCTTACCAAAATAGACGATTTTTTCCGTCTCGATCAGCGCTCAAACATGCTGAACAGTAATGGTAGCTTGAAGCCAATCACATTGAAGATGTTTGTGGAAGTTTCTAATTATCTTCTAAAATTTTTCGAGATCAAGCAAGAGTTCACAGCCTCGAACTACGTCGAGGAATTACCACGAACTGCAAAGAAGCTGCGTTATCCTGGTGTGATGACTAAGTCGTGGCTGAAGACTGCCAATGCGATGCACTCATGGCCCTCTGTCCTTGGCTGGATCGGCTGGTTGGTAGAAATACGCCAGGTGCAAAAACTCGCCTTGGACAGATTCCAGATGGAGACTCTGCCCTTTGTGGGAACAAAACAGCAAGCGCAGAACAGCAGAACAGAGTTTCTGGCGTTGTTGGAGTGCTACAAAGCATGGAACGACGAGAAACTCGACGAGGAAAAAGAATTACTGGAGAAATATCTACGGGATATCGAGACTCAATGGGGCATCAGCGAAGAAGATGTCACTCTAGCACATAAAGAATTGGAAGAAGAGACTCGGAAGTTACAGATGATGGAGGAAGAGTCGAGGAAAGTCGATGAAGAAGTTGAACGTTTGCAGACGATACTGTCCACTTCAGAGGCCAAGGAATCGAAATTGTTGAACGACATTAGGATAAAGGAAGAATATATAAAGAAAATGACTACCGAGACGGATCAAATGATGGTGGAGCATGAAACTTTAAACGAACAGATCCGCCAGGCGAATAAACAGCACAAAGAATTGGTCTCCATTGTAAAGGATCAACCCATGTCTAAGGTCGAGAAAGAAAAGATTATGAAGCAGTGCACAGAGATACAGAATTATATACATGGGTTTGACGAGCATCTCAATGAGTATCAAAAAGAGTTGTACACTTTGGATATCAAATTGGCGTCAATTAATAACAATCTCAATAAAATGGTGTTGACGTACAACAAGGAGATCTTTATGTATATCGATAGCGATATCAATGTGAACTTCAATGAATTGAAATTGCCAGAGAAAGGACTATTGGATCCACATGTAATGGAGGTGTTGGAAGAGAAGATCGTTTTGATGAAAACTTTGAAAGAATCGTTGAAGAAACAATGCAACGACGTGATCTTGCTGATTCACTCAGACACTATAAAACTGGAAAATTTACAAGAGAAGATCAAATCTGTGCCGAACGACGAGAAGTTACACGAGGAGAAATCTCACATCGACAAGATAAAGATGAACGTGAAAAACGAGAAAATCAAATTAATGGAGCAAATAGAGACGCGGAAGAACGAGATCAAGGAAATTCAAGATGTGATGCCGGATGTAGAAGCGGTACAACTCGAGATAGAGGAAGCAAAGGACAAATTGGAGGCAGTTGTTCGAAGGATGAGGTTCTTGGAACAATCCGGTAAACAATTCTTCGATGAATTATACCAGATAGTCGGTGAACATAGAAACAAGCTTTATAATCTGTTGACAAAAAACAGCGTATAGTATTGCATTTCCAATGTAATAATGTAATAATGTAATAATAAATAATAGTAGTAATAAATAATAGTCCATAAAATAAAAGCACATTATTTAGCTTATTTTTTTCTTTATCGTTTCATTGTCTTATCTATTATCTACCTTTTATTATCTACCTTACTATTTTATTGTGTATTCGTTTATTAGTCCTTCTATTTGTGGTTTCTACAATTAGCTGAGGATTGTAAGGTTGTAAGGAAGAGACAGAAAGAAAGAAATAGAAGAAAATTTTTTGTTCTTTACGTTCAAAAAATTTTGCCAAAGTTAAGGATTTTAGTTACTTTATGAAGATATTATCTCTGTAAAGATTTATCTACAATGGCAGTGGAAGTATGGCTAAAAAAATAAAAGCAAGAAATTGATCAATCACAGTCGAATTACGATATGAATCGTTATCGCGACTATACGCATATTAACCAGTTAGCTGTGTATAACGAGTATACTCATCATGCAACACAATTTAGGTACACACTTTTAAAAGAGGGCAACACAGCTAACTGGTTAATATATAATTGTAATGTATTTTTGTTATAATTTACGAAACAACTGTTATTTGTTTGTAAAATTTACGAAACAACTATAAAATTTAACAATTTACGTAAATTTGTAAAATTATATTTTAAATAAAGCCTTTTGTAAGTATGTATTCTTCCTTCTCTACATGAAAAACTCCAACTTTCTCTAATCGTTTATATACGAACAAAATATATATATATATCTGTATCAACTTCTTTGCCAAATAATGCAAATTGTGTGTATATAAAATAGTTTTATTTTATTTAGCTCTATATGTGTCATGACAATGTGCAATTCGCATTTTTTTCTTCTTTTTTTATGATATAAGATTTAACATAATCTGCCGAGTTGCAGTTGAAAACGTCGTATGAATTCCACGATGTACACGGTACGTTAATCATTCGTGAATAACAAAAGATATTAACGAATATTACATATGTATATATACTACAAAAGACAGTACATCTGAATTAGAAGCCATGGTATACGAACGGGCAGCGCACCTCTGTCTCGATGGCGCGACAGAATGGTCCGCGTACCATAGCTGTGTAAGAGATTCATCTTTAAAGAATTAATCATAATCTTTACATTTGCTTTCGTCGCCTCATCTAATTATATCACGAGTAATTGATCTTTCATTGAGAAGTAACTTTTCAATTAACTCTCTAATATTTACAATTGTAATGTCGTGAATTTCGATGATTTTTATACTAACGTTAAAAAATCCTCCACTCGATATGCGATAGAAAAGTATGCCGTATAGACAACAAGAAAAAAGAAACGCTTCAACTAGATACTGGAATGTGAACTGCATTTGTGTGCTTTGTCGTTTTCAATATATCGCATCTATTATAAATTTACTGCCTGCTCGTTATATTACATATTACTGCAGTGTGAATCGATTATGATCGTTATGTACTTCAAAAGTTACCTCTCAATTATGTTTGAATGTATTGTTTAAGCTACAACTAGGTCCCACTGCCTTTATACTTTATATCTTACTTTTAACATGTTATGTACAAATGAACATTGTAAATACGGTATGAAAAGTCGATTAAAATGCAACGCATCATAAAGTAACTGGCACGATCGTTTTTATAAATTCGCCAGAAATCTTGCTCAATTCGCTCTTTACTACAAATAAAACTAGAGGCGATTTACGACGGTCTTCCCATCGACTGGTTAGCTTTGCATAAGACAAAATGAAAGAGAGAATGAAAAAATTATTAATTCACTATTCGTATATTCACAGGTCTCTGATCTTCAAAATTATACGCTACATTCTCAATTGAGTGAAAATAGTAGTTACACAGAATCAGATATTAATTTTCACATATAAAAATACAAGCATTTATTTTATTAATTTTTATCTTATATTGAGCTTTTTATATGTATTGTATGTTATCTTATATATTTTTACATAATGCATACAATTATGCATTGCCCATTTTTTCACTTTTCTGATTTAAAGAAAAGTATTAGCCTACGTATCAAAGCTGTCCAAATTAGACGCTAACGATTGATTATCTTGCTGTGCGTCCCTCTTTAATTTTTTTCATGAAAAGAGAAAGAGAAGCAGAGCAAAGTGATCGCCTGCGAGCGTATAATTAGTTTTCGGCTTATAAAATGGATCTGCATTTGTTTTAAAAATGTCTCCTATGATCGATTAATATTTTTCATTCTTCCTTATTACAGACTACCATCAGATAACTATGAGATCATTTACGTATAAACGTATATTTACGTTTATGAGAGTATATCTGTGTCGACTATTGAAAAAGGGACTGACATATGCTATCTGTATCCCAGCGTGTTATGCGAACAATTGTTGATGACCTCGTAGATGCTCCACGAGAGCAATCTCGTGCGCAAAATTAAAAGATAACTACGTACATTTAATAATTTTGTACTAATACTTCGCACGCTTACAAGTGATTAATATAATTATATCATGTAAGTAGAATATAATATTTTGTATTTCGTTACGTTATATCACCTATACTACAAAAAACTTAACAGCACTATCTCTAAAAAATACAGTTTATAAGTCTTTGATATAAGATGTTTATATATATATATATATATATATATATATATATAT